TGTTGGATCAGGGCTCTCTTCAAGGGCTCTTAAAGGGCAAGTCCAGGAATCTTGCTGAATAGGCCGAGAGCTGTTGTGACAAGTGCTGCTGGGAGCCTTGTAGACCATTACAGGCGACTCATCCATTGTTTCCTACAGGGGAGCAGTGGACCGGGTTGATGAGGAAATGTCAGATATTTAGTCGACATCATTTCTCTCTAAGGAAGCGAGACCAGCACAGTGGTTAAGAACCCACACAGCTGGAGATGGAGTCTCAAAGTTCACACTCCAGCTCTACTGCAGACCAGCTGTGTGACTTTAGACAAGTGACTTGCCTTCTCTATGCCTCAGCAGCAGCAAAAACGGTCTGCCAATAAGGTAGTCAAAAGGACTCAGTGCATGTTTTATTTTTCTTCAGTGCTTTGAACAGTATCTGGCACAGAGAAAGCACTCAGTAATGGACAGTTAGTATAAATACCATGAGGAGCTTTGGGTGATTAAAAAGAAAACAACAACAACAACAAAAACTAACCAAGCCTCTGCCTTCAAAGACCTCACAGCGTACATGGGCTGGCAAATGGAATGTATGTAAAAGGAGCACTAGCAACTCAGGGCAGTGCCCACAATACCCTTCAACTCGAGGGCAGTGAGGTCAGCATGACTCAGGTGGTTCAGGAGAGCCCTCAGTTCTCATCAGGTGAGGACTTCAGGCATCTCCAGGGAAAGGTAGTGAGAATTTGTATCACTTCCTTGCCTCTGGTTTGAGGGAGGGTACAACTGGTCATTTACATTCATGTTCGCATCCTCACTGGTATACTCTGTTTTTGAAATAGACAGGTTGAAGTTACCTCATTGAAGAGTAGAAAATATACGGGATATATATATATATATATATATATATATATATACATATATATATATATATATATATATAGAGAGAGAGAGAGAGAGAGAGAGAGAGAGAGAGAGAGACAAGGTTTCACTCTGTCATCCAGGATGGAGTGCAGTGGTACAATCTCGGGTCACTGCAACCCCCACCTCCCAGCTTAAGTGCTCCTCCCACGTGAGCCTCCTGGGTAGCTGGGACTGGGACTGCATGCACACGCCACCATGCCTGGCTCATTTTTGTGTCTTTTGTAGAGATGGGGCTTGAACTCCATGTTGCCCAGGTGGGTCTCAAACTCCTGGACTCAAACAGTCTGCCCACCTTGGCCTCCCAAAGTGCTGGGATTATAGGCATGAGCCACCACACCCAGCCAGTATGGGCGATATTTAACCTAACAAAGTTGAGTTGGTGACCTGATGTCGACCACCTAAGGTTTGAAGGAACTCAAGGGTGACATTGTCAACACTGCCCCGAATATGTGTTCAGTGATAAGAAAGCACCTTTAAGGAAGGACATTGGTGATGGCCAGCATAACTCTTATTAACAGGAAGAATTTCCCAGAGGCCCTGAGACATGCATTTGAGTGAGCCCTACTTTTTTATTTTTCTTTTGTTTTGTTCTTGTTTACCTTAAAAACAATTAATGCCCGGGAATATAATGTATAATATGGTGACTATACTTAAGAATACTGTATTGTATATTTGAGATTCGCTGAGAGAGTAGTTCTTAAACGTTCTTACCACAAAAATAACAATAACTATGTGAGGTGATGAATAAGCTAATTAGCTGGTTTGGGATAATCATTTCACAATGTGTACTTATATCAAAACATCACATTGGAAGCGTACATGTATTTAACTTTTATCAATTCTACCTCAGGAAAGATGGAAAAAGATTTGAATTAACTGCCATATAAAATCTCACTCATTACAGATTTAACTATTATAAAGGTTAAAAATGGTCATGGTAAAAAATATTTTAAATCATAGAAGTATATTTTAAAAAACAAGATTTCACTGGCATCTCCCTATTCTCACTCACTGAAAGTGACTGCTCTTATCATTTTCTTATGTATCCATCTAAAATTTTTCTGGGCATATTTGAACATGTATAGGGTGTATAAGTGTAATGCACATCTAGACCCATTTTCACTGCAGATGCTACTATTTGTATCTGTTATAATGTATCTCAGACCTGATCCACATCAACACATACAGATCTACTTTGCCCTATTAATGCGTTCATAGTATTTCATTCTAACATTCATTACTTTTAAAATTTGGTTCAGTATTTTATCTGGCTAAGGCACAAAGGATAGAGACATGAGAAACAGAAAAAGATACTGAGAGTTGGAAGAGAGGTATCAGCATACCTAAAGGATTGTGTAAGAACACAGAGTTTTTAACTAGTGCCACTAAACTTTAGCAACTCTAGGCATCAGTTGGACCAGGACTTTTGGTTACTGCCTTGTGAAGTAGATGCCATAATGGCAAGTTGAGGTCTAAGCCACAGGGCAGCTCTTCCCAACACTTCTGTAACTAGAAACCATGCTTAATTTGCTAGAGTCCTTTGGGGACTTAAATAGCACATGGATAGAGCAGAACAGTAGATGTTATTTCAACTTTCAGAAAGTTTGGCAAGCTTTGAAACCCAAAGCTGTCTTTTTAAAATGGAGTCACTGTGGGATAGGGGAGCAGTGTTTAGTCCTGGCTCTTTATCCATGGCTGGGAGATAAGAAATTTTAAAAAAATACATAGCTAAAGGGGCACTTTTCTGAATGGCAGAAAATAATACAGTAGGGCCACAAAGGATCAGCTGTGGGACTAATTCGATTTAATATTTATAATGGTTTGGGAAGCTGGAGTATGGGGCAAAATCGCTAAGTTGGCAGATGTCTTTACACTATTCCAATGAGGATAAGGAGCTTCAGGAAGACACTTGTTTTATAGGAGTGGACATAAAAGTGGCTGGCAAGCTTTGATATGAAAAAGACCAAGGATATGTCTCTAGGGACACATTCCTGAAGTTCATTTCAGAAGATTTATAATGAGCCTTACCTCTTTATCTGCAAATAAGGTCTCTGCTTCAGGCATCAGTAGGAGTTAAAGAGAAGATGGAGTTGGTAGTATCATCAGAAGGTGGATGATATTTAAACGGACGGCATTATATGAACATAAAAGAGGCTAGTAGTGAGCTGATTCCCACCAGATAAAGAACGTTCCTTTATGTTTCTTTAAAACAGCCCCCAAAGGCAATTGTCATGTGATGATTGGTGATTTGTGTATTCACAAATTAACTTTTAAAGTTAAATAATCTGAATGTGTTAAGCTACCATTTTAGAAGAAATGCAATCAAATGTGCTCTTCAGCATCTCTGCTACAAAATATTTTCCTTCTCAGAGGATGACTTTTAGTTATGAATGTCAGAACTAGATTTCCTGACCTCCTCTGTTACCATGCATGTTTTTCAAAGTATGTCCTTAATACTGACAGATACATTGTATCATGGATGGGGACATTAACAGAATGAGATCAGTATTCTCTGAAGTTGTGAAGTTTTCGGTAGTAAAGAGATAATGCCCTAGCTACCTCTCAACTTCACAGTGTGGTTGAGAAGCTCAAATGAGCTGAGTGATATGAAACTGCTTTGTAAAGTGCTATGCAAAAATATGGTAGTGTTAATTATTATTTGTACTTCATAATTTGGGATTAGAAATATAAACTGACTCAAATCTAGGAATTTATCCTTTATAGATATAAATGCAAATGCATGAAAATCAGTATACAAGGATGTTCTCTGCAGCATTATTTATATTAACAAAGTACTACAAATTATTGTTCATCAGTAAGGTATTGTATAAATAATTAATTATTGAGCCATACAGAGGAATAAGGGCGAGGCAGTTCCATGTTTTCTAACATGAATGTCCAAAGTATACATTTTGTTTTAGTTTTTGTTTTGAGATAGGGTCTCACTCTGTCACCCAGGCTGGAGTGAAGTGGTGTATCGTAGCCAATGAGGTTTATCCGAGGCGCGATTATTGCTAATTGAAAAATATGAATTACTGATATCAATTTTCCCTTATAACCCTGGCTATCCTATTGTAATTGGGAAAAAAAGTATATAAAGAGACAGAAAGGCCCTGGGAATCTTTTATTTCTTTAAGAAAGCATTCCATTATCAGGATCAGGAGCAAGTAAAAAAGAGCTCAAAACCTTTTTCTCTCTTTGGCAATGGTGTTCTGGTGTTTCCACATGATGAAAGCATAAGGAATAAATGGAATCTGTTTCTTGTTTGCTTTGTTTTGCAAAATGAGGAATAATTCTCTGTAGAGGTCTGGAACCATGGATGCAATAAAGAAACCACCTCATTTGTGAATCACTGTCCCAGCTGAAGTTGGCAAAACCCTACACTGGAAGGCAGAATTGCCTAGGTCTTTAAATAGTTACCCTTCTTATGATGGTGAGGATGTCCATAGCTACACTGAAACTTCACTTCTGGAGTAAAAGCTGTGGTTTGTCCTGCAGGAGAACATTAAAATCTTCCATTAGACTGATGTTCTCTCCTCTCATAGAGAATGCAGAGGGAAGCTGGCAGGTGTAATTTATGCTGCAAGTGACTTGAGAAAGCCTTCTGCATAGAAACCCAGCTCCATAGCCTACAGGAAATGGTGGGAGGAGGAAGAAGGGAAGGAAGAGGTAAAGAACATGGAAGACTCTTTCTCTTTCAAATGAATAGAAGGCTCACACTGAGTGAAGGTTCATTCTGTGTGCTTCACTGTCCATGTCCTGAACCTCCCCTAGCACAGGTCTAATCACTCTGCCTTGTCACTGGCCCTTGCTCTTGTAGACTCTCCACTAGACTGAGAGCACAATAAGGGCACAGACCTTGTCTGTCTTGTGCATTGTTGTATCCCTGACATGTAGAGAAAAAAAGGATGTTGAATATATTTGTTGACTGTTGAATGAATATACTTTTACTGTAAATAGACAGTATGTGAAGTGATCTACTTTTGCACCATGAAGTCATCTCATGAGATTGTGGTCAGCCTGACTGTTGATGCCAAATACAGTTGGCTTTTCCTTTGTTTGGGACTTTCTTTTTACAAACCTTTTCTTTACCTTCACCTTTACAGATACAGCCAAAAGGCGGCAAGGAATGGAATGAAAAATCAGTTCAACCTGCATGAGCTGAAAATGAAGGGCCCTGAGCCACTGGTCAGCCAAATTATTGACAAACTGAAGCACATTAACCAGGTATGTGGAATGTAAAAAAAAAAAAAAAAAAAAAAAAAAAAAAAAAAAAAAAAAAAAAAGATACAAAGTAGAAATGACCAGAGAGAGAGAGAGAAAACTTCTACCGTTCAAACTATGTTCTTGGGCTTTTAGAGAGGAGGCTATTGTTCATTTTTCTTCCAATAGCCTTTCTGCTTAAAAGGACTACTGGCCTTCATTTTTTACGCCACTTTTAAATTATAAAGACAATATTGCAATATGAGGGATCGCTTGGAAATTAGAGGGAAAACATTTCTCACAAAAATCCCACTACTCTATCCCAACTGTTTTCATTTTCACATGTTCTCTTCCAATATTTGTCTAGAAAGGCACACTCATATAGACGTTTTCTATAATCAGAAAGCCACAAGTGATTTATAGTTCTGAAAATTAATACTATCTTAATAACACTTTTTCATCTTGCCACAAATCTTTTTGTTATTGTTATTGTTGTTGTTTTGTTTTGTTTTGTATTGTTTTGAGACAGGGTCTTGCTCTGTTGCCCAGGCTGGAGCACAGTGGCACAATCGTGGCTTACTGCAGTCTGGACCTCCTGAGCTCAAGATATTCTCGTGCCTCAGCCTTCCGGGTAACTGGTACTATAGACATGTGCCACCACACCTGGCTAACTTTCAATGTTTTTGTAGAAATGAGGTCTCACTATGTTTCCCAGGCTGGTCTCGAACTCCTAGGCTCAAGCAATCTGCCTGCATTGGCTCCTCAAAGTTCTAGGACTACAGATGTGAGCCACCAGGCCTGGTCCCACACAAATCTTTATATTACTTATTCGTTATGGCTGCATAATATTCTGTTGAGTATTCATCATCATTAACATAATTAATCAGCATGCTTTTGCTGGATATACAGGTTGTTTCAAATTTTTGCCATCATAAAAAAAAGGTACCTCCTTATACATAGTGCTTTATCCTGATCTTAGCTTATTTTCTTAAAATGCTAAAGTTATTGGGTCAAAGGATATAAGCAATTTAAATGCATGTCTCCAAATTGCTTTTCAATGAGAATGTATCAGTTTTCACTGCCACCAGCAAGATATGAGAGGTCCAGTTTCACTGCATCCTTGCCAGCTTCTGACTCAGTGCCATGCACAGAGACACCCACAGATTCCCTTGACCTGTACACATAGTTTTTCCACTCATAAGAAGTTTAGTAACAAGACACAAATAGAAGTTAGTTGTACCATCTGCTTGTCATTGCTTTGTGGCCACAATAAAAATGCCACCAAAAAGGCATATACCAGAGTGACAGTGTTCCTGCCCCGTGATCCGTGGGTGGGAGGACTCTGGCCTCACTGACTTCTATTTGTAGTTTAGGAAGAACTTAATGAAACTGAAATCTTTATGTAAGACAGAGGTTTTAATACAAATACATTGGCATGATTTTTTAAAATATAGATTTTAGCAGTGAAAGTTTTGTGGTTCTTAAAAAAATACTTAGAAGGGCTTTTTAAGAGTCGTCTATTTTTCACTACAATTCCATTGTGAAAGTATTGACAACATGCCTGGGTTTAAACTCCTCCAGCATTAGCTGTCAGTGCTGCTGAGCACATGATAATGACAGTGTCTACCTAACTGAGCCTTTTTTTTGTGTGAAAGTACAACTTTACTAAGTTCTAGCAAGCCTTGCTAGATATAGTGTGATTATTTCAAAATGCGTCTCTGAGGGGATCAGAGCACAGACAATGTAAAATGCTTACTACTGAGTTGAGAACATGATATGCCTCACTTGGGGACAGTGGTACAAATTATCTCAAACCAAATGTGTCTATGCTCAGCTGGTTAGACCCCAACACTGGTGAGGCCAAAATCTCAGTTTCCATCACTGTGCCCCTAATCCTAAATGAGGAATATTGTCAACAAGTCCCTTGGGTCAACAGACTTTAAGGATTACCTACTACGTACTCAGCCAGGTGCTAGGGACTTTGGGCGTTCAAAGAAAGTTGAGTCCTCTGTCCTCACAGCCTCCTTGAGAGAGGAAGCACAAGCATAGGAAGTGGTTAAATAAAGATAAAGGGCAGCCTGTGATGCAGAGCCTGAAGAAGGGTGCTGCTCATCAGTTTTGGGTGATATGATTAGGCTAGTAGGAAGATTGCAGATAAGGGCAAGTGTTAAGGTCTTCAGCTATAAGCAATGAGTAGGGTTTGAGTAGGTAAAGGCAAGCAAGGGACAGACAGTCATAAAAAAGATCGGGTGAAGACCTGTCCAAGGACCACACGCTAGCAAATGGGAAACCTGCATCAAAAATGGGCTTCAATATGATCTGGCAGTCACTAAAAAATATTTATAGCCATCCCTTTCAGCAAAGGCTTTGGGCACAGTAGAAAGAATATGGGCTTTGGATCCAGATGGATCTGAATTCAGTTATAGATTTAACTAGACAAATAACCTTGGGTAAATCAGTTAACCTCTCTGAGCTTTAGTTCTCCCATCTGTAGTATGATAAAGGTATAAAAAGTTCTAGTGTGTCAATATTATATACATACATATAATATGCATATATTATATTATATTATATGCATATGTTACATAGATGTACGTAATATATATGCAGTGTATATATATTATATACATATACAGAATATACATATACATAGATATATGTAATTACATGTGCATAACAGGCACTTAATATATGGCAGTTAGTTATAAGACACAGGGAGGGGAGCACTACACACTGGGGTCCGTTGGGGGGAAATGGGGGAGGGGTGGGGGGGTGGGGAGGTGGGAAGAGATAGCATGGGGAGAAATGAAAGATACAGGTGAGGGGACAGAAGGCAGCAAAGCACACTGCCATGTGTGTACCTATGCAACAATCTTGCATGTTCATCACATGTACCCCAAAACCTAAAATGCAATAAAAAAAAAAAAAAGAATTATGTTTAGGACTTTCTCTATAGGCAGGACTTAAGTTTGAAAGAAAGTTTCAGTACTTTCTGCTGGTCTAATTCTTCCCCCTGAGTTTTGTATGTTTGTAGATCCCTTTGATGCATCTCTTGTTTCTCTTTTTTTTAAAGAATTTTTTACATGATCTTTATTTTTTATTTTACTTTTAAGTTTTGGAGTATACATGCAGATCTTGCAGGACTGTTACATAGGTATACACATGCCATGGTGGTTTGCTGCCTCCATCTCCCCGTGGCCTACATTAGGTATTTCTCCTAATGTTATCCCTCCCCAATCTCCCTACCCGCTGCTACCCTCCCCTAGCCCCCCAACCCCCAACAGACCCTAGAGTGTGATGTTCCACTCCCTGTGTTCATGTGTTCTCATTGTTCAACACGCATTTATGAGTGAGAACATGTGGTGTTTGGTTGTCTGTTCTTGCATCAGTTTGTTGAGAATGATGGTTTCCAGATTCATCCATGTCCCTGCAAAGGACATGAACTCATCCTTTTTTTATGGCTGCATAGTATTCCATAGGGTATATGTGCCACATTTTCTTTATCCAAACTACCATTGATGGGCATTTGGGTTGGTTCCAAGTCTTTCCCATTGTAAACGGTGCCACAAGGAACACACGTGTGCATGTGTCCTTATAATAGATAGATTTATAATCCTTTGGGTATATACTCAGTAATGGAATTCTTGGGTCAAATGGTATTTCTATTTCTAGGTCCTTGAGGAATCCCCACACTGTCTAACACAATGGTTGAACTAATTTCCACTCCCACCAACAGTGTAAGAGTGTTCCTATTTCTCCATATGCTCTCCAGCATCTGTCTCCAGATTTTTTAATGATCGCCATTCCAACTGGTGTGAGATGGTATCTCAATGTGGTTTTGATTTGCATTTCTCTAATGACCAGTGATGATGAGCATTTCTTCATATGTTTGTTGGCCGCATAGATGTCTTCTTTTGAAAAGTGTCTGTTCACATCCTTCACCCACTTTTTATGGGATTGTTTTTTTTTTTTTCTTGTATATTTGTTTTAGTTCTTTGTGGATTCTGGCTATTAGCCCTTTGTCAGATGGGTAACTTGCAAAAATTTTTTCCCATTCTCTTGGTTGCCGGTTCAATCTAATGATTGTTTCTTTTGCTGTGAAGAAGCTCTTAAGTTTAATTAGATCCTATTTGTCTATTATGGTTTTTGTTGCCATTGCTTTTGGTGTTTTAGTCATGAAGTCCTTGCCCATGCCTATGTCCTGGATGGTATTGCCTAGGTTTCCTTCTAGGTCTTTTATGGTGTTAGGTCTTATGTTTAAAACTTTAATCTGTCTGGAGTTGATTTTTGTATAAGGTGTAAGGAAGGGGTCCAGTTTCTGCTTTCTGCACATGGCTGGCCAGTTTTCCCAACACCATTTATTAATCAGGGAATCATTTACCCATTGCTTGTTTTTGTCAGGTTTGTCAAAGATCAGATGGTTGTAGGTATGTGGCGTTACTTCTGAGGCCTCTGTTCTGTTCTATTGGTCTATATCTCTGTTTTGGTACCAGTACCATGCTGTTTTGATTCTTTCTCTTTCTCTACCATATTGTCTCTTTCTTTTCCTCTCCTTTAACTTTCAGCCACAAAAGCTGAAACCAGCTCACAGGTAGGGAGGTGTACATAGAGTGAGAAAGGTCACTATGACAATTCCTTTTTCCTGTGTAGCTCTGGCCATGAATAAGTGTGCGAACATTTTCAGTTTCCATACAAATACCATTGAGCAACCAATTAATTATCATTGATAAACCAGTTTTACCTGTTTCAGTTGAGCTGTTAAAGTTGGTTGGCCTCCATACACCCACAGTGATTTTTTTTTTTTCTCATCTGTGTTGCTTTATATAGCCAAAACACATTTTTTCAGTCCTTTACTAAAATTCATATTTTGGCCATGATTTGATCTGAAAGTGAGATGATTTAGGGAAGTCATAAAGAAAAAAGTTATGATGATGATGATGATAATGTGTTGTCTTTGTATAGCATTTACTCATATTTCAAAGTGATGTCATGTTCTAAAGTCTAACTGCTTAGAAAAAAAAAAT